ACACACACACGCATTTCGCCATCAAACGTTGGAGACCTGTGTTCTCATGCTGAGGGAATTTATCCAGTGTCACTCTAGGACATTGTATCCCTCTTCTTAGCCTGGGTGGCCCTGACAGGCAGATTTTAAACCCACCTCCTAAACGATCTAAATCATGTCAATGGCGCTGTCTAACATCTACGTTTTAAAAGAAACCTTTCTTTCTCTAATCCACCTACTTCTCTCAAAGTCCATGTTGCTGTTTGTATATTTCATTTCTTCTTCTAGTTATCAGGTCTATTGTAGATGGATTAACAGAATGCTACACTCCGAAAATTCATTAATCCGAAAAGGAGTGCGTAGAGATTAACAGTACCTTTTGTTTACCTCTATAAATCTCGTTATTTTGATCTGCTGTTTCCAACCCTGATTTTTATGCAATATGCAAGGACTTTCTATTGCAAAGAGAAATTGAACTAGGCCTACCTCTCTAAGTCCCTTCAGCTCCCCTGCCAGCTTCACCATCTCTGCAAGGCTTGCGCTATAACGCTCCTCGAGTTCAGTCAGTCTTTTGAGAACTTGCGTCTTTTCATCAGCGCGAAACTCCTCCTCTTGAATGTGGCGAGCCCCTGAGTCCTGTTAATGAAAGAAAAGTCCAAGTTGTCAGTTTGCTTTAGAAATCTTTTTCACAAACATGTACGACCAGTGGTGGAAATCCATTCTGCTGCAAACAGAAATAAGGACAGTCGACCGGAAAGCCAATAGCCTGCGAAAGGAGCCCCTCCCCCTTCCTGCCATATACAGTCATGCTGTAACAACAACTTTTGATGAACAAACCTTCAGTATAGTTAACCTCCAAGAGGTGACCGCCTTTATCACGCGACAACAATCACGTTCGGTCAATCCTGCACTATGATGACTTTTATAATGAGGTCAAAAATTTGTGGTGCAACGTATAGCTAGATATTTCCTAAACTATAGCACATAAAAACGCTCTAGCTTTTGCACATTGATGTGAGTGAATTTGTCTTAACAGATCAATACTTTTATAAACACCTGCAAGCTGTATTCTAGAAAATTTCTTAATAAATATTATCAATTTAAAAAATCAAAGCGGGTGGTTTATACAGATTTTTAAAAGGTTTACAACTGGGGCAATGTCGCTTTTAAAGGCAAGTCCATCAGGGGTTGTTTTTTTCCTAATCGTGACATTATTTTTTTTATTGAACACATGATTATGATGTGAGAACCTGTAGTGCAAAAATGTGTGTTTATTAGATATACGTATGTGAGAAGCGGGAGGTTCTCACCACGTAGGTTAGAAGAAGCACTACAAGTATACAAACTCACCACGTAGGTTAGAAGAAGCACTACACGTATACAAAGGGATGAACACACAACGTTATTTAGTAATAGCTGTTCCCGTGGGCAGAATCTATCTGAGTTTTCTTGGTTTCAGACATTCCACTGTTTTGGGTTTAATTTTTATAAGTAAAATTTGTGTTGGAACGGGTTTAATTTTTATAAGTAAAATTTGTGTTGGAACCTCGAAGACCCCCCTCCTCAGGTATGCAGTAAGACTATCCATAAAGGTCTTACACACTAAAAAAAGAAAGATATTAAATTAAATGTGAAATGTAGTAGATAGATAAATAATACACTACATACGAAGGTACACTAGTCAATAATTTTTTGGCAAACTTTGTGTACATTTAACGATTGGTGACACTATTACAAGCTTGATAATGTATGTTGCAAATAATATGTAAGTGGAAGCTCAGTCAAAGAAGCCTAAAGACTAGATATAGTATCTATGAACGAAACGTATCTGAAAGAGAACAAGGAGAGAGAGGAGTTGTGAACCAATCAATTTGTATTTAAAATTATGTTTATTGCAGTTAATGTGCAATGAGCGTTCCGAAACCGTGTGTGAATCCATTATACATAAAAGAAACACCTGTCTCTTCAAACTGGACACAATTCTACAAGTGCAATAACAAATAGTTACAGAATTTTACGCAGTGTTTAGATCCTGTTTAGCATGTCAAGCCTTTCTTGTCGATATAATCGTGAATGTGCTGAACAGAAATGAACGAATTATATAACCAAGTAATGAGTGTTTGAAGTCACTATTCGTTAAAGGCATTTTTTTTTTTACTCAAGCTAGTCGGGTTGTGTCAGAAAACAAAGTGTGAGTTTGCCATTCTGAATAAACGCGAGGTTACAGACTCAAACCATATTAATGTGCACAATTGAGCAGAAACCAATCGAACACACTATACACATTACAGATGCAATGTCAATTGCGCGGGTAATAAATTGCGTTCTTCAACATTTTAAAAGCGTTTTTTTTTTGTGCTTAGACCATGTGAATTTAAAGGAGGGAAATGGTAGATGGAAAGTCTGTGATTTGACTGGATAAATCTGCTGAGTGGGCAGGACAAAAATATCAATAGATATTGTGTGTGAATCTATACTGCATGAAACGGTTTTCATGGATATTGGCGTTCCCTTTGTGTTTTGAAACCACGTGGTTGTCCACGAGCGGAGCACAAAGGACTGACCAGTATAGTACAGCCGTGTTCAGCATGGTTGTCTTTTGAAAAGTTATGCTGGCCCTAAGGCCACGGGCACACTTGACAAACTTCCATTGTCACACGGCTACGAGGTATGACGTCACTAGTGGGTGACGAGAAAGGAACGAGTAAAAATTGCACCTTTGGCAAATTCATTTGAAACAGAGACGTGTTTTGGATGCTGGGTTTTAAATCAGGGGTATAAGAAAAGCTTTTTAAAAATGAAGCAGACCAAAGTTCGCATTAATTGAACATGTTGCGTTTCATTTAACCGGACCTAGTGTACTATAATTACTCCCAACTACTTAACCCTTTTTAAGCCATACCGGCCTAAACCAGCCTTCCCGCCATGTTGCCCTACTGGCTTTTACCGGCCTGGTAGACTGACTTTATGCAGGCGTAGGAATACAAACATTTCCCCCTAAATTTAGATGCCGACGTCCTTAGTTTTTCGATGTGAAATATCATTTAAATACGTCGCTTACATCAAAAGTAAAAGTAATTTTTTTGCTCCACCCATAAACCCCTGAAAAACACTGAAAAAAAATCGGTCCTCTGAAGCCATCAGCAGGCCGTTTGGTTTAGCTGTGCGAACATGTTGACCTATTTTTGGTGCTAAGAGGGGTGAAAGGAGGATGGTAATATAGTAGTGGTATAACAGGAATCCATACCATACATGTATAGGCCCCCTTACCCCACCCCTCACCCACATATTATTATGCAGATGATAAAGATGATACTTGTGGAGTGATGGTGATGAAACCAAAAACCAACTGAATTCACAAAATATGCTAAAAATGAAATCTCCGTTGCTCTAATAACAAATGGCGTTCATTAAAACAACGTTCCATAGTGCATGGAGCAGGTGACATTAAAGGAGGGAAATAGTAGAAGGAAAGCCTGTGTTTTGATTGGATAAATCTGCTGAGTGGGCAGGACGAACATAACAACAAGCGACCAGGCCATACAGGTATTGGCGTTCCCGTTGTGTTTTGACACCACGTGGTTGTCCACGAGCGGAGCACAAAGGACTGACCAGTATAGTACAGTGGTTTTCAGCATGGTTGTCTTTTGATAAGCTGTGCTGGCTCTCTCAGTGGTTTAGGGAAAGCTTTAAAAAAGTAATAAAACTAAAGGTCGTTTTAATTGAACATGTTGCGTTTAATTTAAGCGACCTAGAAACCAAAACAGAATTATTTCAATTACGAAACACTTTCTGAGCCATACCGGCCTAAACCGGCCTTCCCGCTGTTGAATCATACCGGCTTTCCCGCTGTAGAGCCATACCGGCTTTTACCGGCCTGGCCTGACAGACTGCAACATTTCACTCTAAGTTTAGATAACGACGACCTACGTTTTTCGATATGAAATATCATTGAAATACGTCGCTTAGATCAAAATCAAATTCTTTGCTACACCCCCTGAACCACTGAAAAACACTGAACTAATTCGATTCTAGGAAGCCATCAGCAGGCCGCCATTTTTATTTAGCTGAGCTGACCTGTTGATCTAATTATGGTGCTAAGAGCGTTAAAATGAAGATGATAGTTAATATATATACATAAGTGTGTGTGTGTATATTATATAAAATGTCAAGGTTACTAAAACTGCTAGAAGCACCAACAACAATAATTAATGGAGGAACGGTGCAAAAGAATCAGAGAGAGAGAGAGAGAGAGAGAGGGGGGGGGAGAGAGAGAGAGAGAGAGAGAGAGAGAGAGAGAGAGAGAGAGAGAGAGAAATAGATAGATAGATAGATAGATAGATAGATAGATAGATAGATAGATAGATAGATAGATAGATAGATAGATAGATAGATAGATAGATAGATAGATAGATAGATACAACTGGTATCTAAAAACACTAGCACACTAGACAATAAATAATACTCACGCTAGTCTGGGCAGTTCCAGGAACAGAGCACGAGTCCGCCATTCTTCTATATGAACAAGGAGGAATCTGGCACGTACAGATACACGTTTGATGAATGCTGGGTAGAAACCAATCGAACACACGATAGACACTGAATGTGATATCTCCGTTGTAATGGTAACGAATGAAGTCTCTCAACTTTTTGGGACCATGTGACTTTGGAGAAGCGGGAAATGGCGGGAAGAAAATCTAATGTTTTGATTGGATAAAGCTATATATGGGGCGGGGCAAAATATCAACAGAATGACCAATAAGCTACACGGCGTCCCCTTTGTGTTAAGACACCACGTGATAGTCCACGGGCGGAGCACAAAGGACTGACCAGTGGAACAGCCGTGATATGCATGATTGACTTTTGGACATGCCACACATGTGAGCCATTGCCCAGGACTCCCTCCGCCCTCTTTTTTCCCCCTTTTTTTTGTGCATAAATTTTGGTTTGTTCGTTTGTTTGTATTTTATCTCCGGACCGTGTCCAGCGTTTTCTTCTTGCAAAAATTAAGACTTGAATAGAAATGTACAGTCGTTTTGTCACCGTTTAAGAACTAATTTAGTTGTTTTTTTTAAATTAACAATAAACATTCTTTCCCCTTTTTCTTTTAAATGCACTACGCCCCGATACAAGAAATGGAGAAGTACTTTTTGACTGGTGTGTATTGAACATCTAGCTCTCACTGGGGGAAATGAAGGCAAAAGGGGCAGGGACAATAATTTACTTGGAGAGCCTAAACAGATGGGTAACGAGAAAAAGAGAAAGATAATGAAACCTTTTTTAGAGCATCCGAGCTAAGGATGAATGGAGAACCATGATCGCAGATCTGGCACTTGATGATAATGTGCATAGAATAACTGGAATAAACTGAGAGAGGAAGAGAAGCAGAGGGAAAAACATAGATAGAGCTTTAAAAAGGTTGTCCACATTTTGTGTCATATAAAGGGGGAAATCCACTTCACGAAACATCCACACTTACCCACCCTTTTCACAACGATTACATTTTAGTGTGATTGGGTAGGATATTATGAAAATAATATTGAAAAAGAATCGGCCGCATGCTTTAGAAAAAAAGACAAGATCAATAACTGCCCTAGTCAATTTATCCAAATACAAGGTAAACAGACTTTAAGTAGGACTTTCTAAAAGTTGATAACAGTCAGTAAGGACAAAATTAAAGTGGATTTTTTGGTGCAAGATGGCGTACTAACATAAGATTCTCATTCAATATATCCGTGGCGACATTTTCGAACAACATTCTCAACGCCCTTTACCGTGTGATTAAGTTCATTTTTTCAAACACGGAATCTACGACACATTAGCACCAATACCGTTATATTTGGTTTAGAGTCAGAAAAAGTTTGTTGTGACTGGATAAATCTGCGGAGTGGGCAGGACGAACATATCAACGAGGGACCGGACTACACGGGTATTGGCGTTCCCTTTGTGTTTTGACACCACGTGGTTGTCCACGAGCGGAGCACAATGGACTGGCCAGTAGCCACACTAGGAACATTTCCCTCATCACATGACCGCGAAGTATGGTGACACTTTGCAGTGAAGAGAAACTGTCTAATTTGCATATTCTCAGCTTGCAAGTAGTCTCCATCAAAGTGTCCCGTGGCATCCACTTCGACATACTTCATCCCTTTTGCTAATGAAAATATTACTATAGTTGAACAGCCCCCCCCCCCTCCTTTAGAGAGAAAGGTGTAGCTTTATGTTCAACAGCATAAAAGATTTCTGGTGCATCAACAACTTATCTCCTTAGAGGCATGCTTTATTTGGATAGAATCAACTAGCCCCACACCTGATACTGAAAAGAAGAGTGGAGTGGATTTCAATAGTCACAAAATTTGCTGTTGATTTCAAGGGGAGAAGACAGGATGTAAATCTCACCTATGACAATTTGTTTACTGACGTCAGGCTTGCAGAAAGATTAGTACTTAGTGAGTACGAAAGACAATCTGGCCATCGTCGGGGCAGAGTGGAGAAACAAAACGATTACTGCTCACGAAATTTCTTAAAATTATAGAGCCTGCCTTAGTCACACCCTGAGTCTGAGTATGTCCTTAGAGAAAAGTAGCTTCTTGTTTCTAGCTTAACATTATTACTGTTCATTTATATTATCATGCATGTGACGGTGAGCCTGTTTGTAAGTGCAAGTGTACTATTATATTATTATGGTTATGTGAAAAGATGTGTGTGGAAGAGAGGATGTGTGAGGGAACAGTGTATAGGGTGTGCATTTGTGCGTGCGTATGCGTGCGTGTATGTTTGTGTGCGTGTGTGCATGCGTGTGTGTGTGTGTGCGCGTGTGTGTGTGTGTGTGTGTGTGTGTGTGTGTGTGTATGTGTGTGTGTGTGTGTGTGTGTGCGCGCGCGCGTGGCGTGGCGAAACGCCAAACTAATGTGCCAGGATCTGGACACAGTATTCTCTTATCTTATCTTATCTTATCTCAGTAAAGCAAGCGAGAAAAGAACGTTCTCATGTTGGTTATTCGAAAATTCACGAAGGAATGAAAAATCAAACATAGAATGCCTGTCGTTTTCAATATTAAAAAAATGTTTTATTGTAAGAACTAGAACTGAAAATCACTCCATGTGAAAATTACACACTATTCCAAATAAAGTGTAGGCTTTTGTGAGACATGTTACCCTGTAATTGAAATAATTCTAAAATAATTCAACTTTCAGTTCCTTTTAACTTTTTTACGTTCAAATGGTCAAAACCCATCAATTACACGTACGAAACAAAATTAATTTCAACGCCTCACGAATTATCTATTTGCTTATCTAAAGCATAGATTTTGTTGTCATACTCATATGAACGGATAACTAAGTCTTCACATAGTATTTTCAAAATCCCCCGCCGTCTGCTTTCTCTACAAAAAGTGTACGGGTGTAAAACACCCAGACACTGCAATATGTATAAAAAGATTTTGATTGCCAAGTGCTTGCATGGTTTTGATAATCCAAACATTTTGCATTAATACTGTGTTCATAAGGGTAAAGTTGAGGATTACACGCAGTTTGAACGGATTTGCAAACATAGAACTTGATATCCTACGTTAAAGGTGGTCACTGGGTGAATTACCCTAGTCACTGAGGAATGGGTTAATGCCAAACCGAAGAAATGTTGAAACATTTTATTAAAATACGCTGAACTCTGCCAAGCACTCACTGTGCAAATTCCACAGTCCAGCGCATACTTCATTACGTAAATCTATGTCAAAACTTGGTCATCATTGTATATTGATCAGTAGCAGCAGAGACACTAAAATATATATTAAATACTCTCTGGTGGCAGGGGGAAAAAAGGACTGCAAGTACTGTGACGCGTTCGTAAATTGTATCTCTACTGACTACTGATGTGACACGCACGAATTGCTTGTGCATCCGCCCCCCCCCCCCCCCCCCACGCACACACACAGTCATACGTCAGACGTATACTGGTTGCCTGTCCGACCCCGATACTTGCTAAGACACGTGTGCATGCCAACAACGTGTGTGTAGGTAAGAAAAAAAGGCCGCTGATTGGTACATGTAGCAAAGATAAAAACAATAGGCTAAGTGAAATATGGTCTACGATGCAGACAGATGCAAAAGATGGTTTTCAGAAATAAATAAAATTTGTTGCGGGAGGAAAATGATCGAAGCCACGTCAGCAGGGGCTGTTCACCCTGCAAGCGATTTCGTTGAATCCGAGATTGCTCATTTATGTTTTCTTTGAAACCGAGTTATAGTCCAGTCCATTTATAACAGCCTGTTATTATAGGAATTTGTTAGTAACGGTGATAAATCAAATCTCCGTTTGTTTATTTTTCTCTATAATTTTAGTAAGTAATATGAACCTGACTATAACAGGGTTCAATTCGGAGTCGGTGGCCTAGTAGTGGTTAGGCACTTGATGATAATGTGCATAGAATAACTGGAATAAACTGAGAGAGGAAGAAAAGCAGAGGGAGAGATAGAGCTTTAAAAAAGTTGTCCACATTTTGTGTCACATAAAGGGAGAAATCCACTTCACGAAACATCTACTCTTACCCACCCTTTTCACAACCCTTACATTTTAATGTGATTGGGTAGGATATTATGAAAATAATAAAGAATCAGCCGCATGCTTAAGAAAAAAGACAAGACCAATTACTCCCATAGTCAATTTATCCAAATACAAGGTAAGCAGTCTTTAAATATGACTTTCTAAAAGTTGATAACAGTCAGTAAGGACAAAATTAAATTGGATTTTTTGGTGCAAGATGGCGTACTAACATAAGATTCTCATTCAATATATCCGTGGCGACATTTTCGAACAACATTCTCAACGCCCTTTACCGTGTGATTTAGTTCATTCTTTCAAACACGGAATCTACGACAAATTATCAACAGTACCGTTGTATTTGGTTTAGAGTCAGAACAGTTTGTTGTGACTGGATAAATCTGCTGAGTGGGCAGGACGAACATATCAACGAGGGACCGGACTACACAGGTATTGGCGTTCCCTTTGTGTTTTGGCACCACGTGGTTTCCACGCGCGGAGCACAAAGGACTGACCAGTAGGCACACTAGGAACACTTCCCTCATCACATGGCTGTGAAGTATGATGACACTTTGCAGTGAAGAGAAACTGCCTAATTTGCATATTCCTAGCGTACAAACAGTTAAAAATGTTCCTAGTGTGCGCAACGGACATGGGGGAGGGGGGGGGGGGAGACTAATGTACTTTTCCAATGTTTGCTTTGTTCAAGACAAGAAAGGCGTGCACATTTGTAGGCAGTTATGACACCGCTATAGTATTATGGGAACAGGCGGTTTTACTAGTTTTAGGAATAAATTAAGGTTTAATGCTTTCAGCCGCCTTTGTCAGTTGTTTTTTGTTTGTTTGTTTTTTATTTCAACATACAGCTTTAGAGTACACATTTACAGGTGTCTCAATAAACAAAACACAGTCGAGATGTCCAGGTGTATGTTATTTGGTTTGTACTCTTTAAATTTCAAAATGCAGTGATTAGAAGATGCATGTGCTTTCTTGAAATAAAATCCGAGTGGAGGTTAAGATAACGGGTGCATCACATGCTAAGTGTTCTAAAACGATAATTGTGAAAGAGTTCGTGTGTACAAAGTACTTGCGGTTGTGTTTCTACTTGTGTGTATGCTTTTGTGCTTGAGTGTGTGTGTGTGTGTGTGTGTGTGTGTGTGTGTGTGTGTGTGTGTGTGTGTGTGTGTGTGTGTGTGTATGTGTGCTTGATAGTCTGAAATAGAGAGAGGGAGAGACAGACACAAAAATTACACCATTAAAAAAACGAACGTATGAGAGCAATGTTTGAGAAGCAATACCTTGTGCTGTGAAGAGCGTTTATATTAGACAAAACTTCAAGAACATTATTTCTGGCTTTACAAAGTAATGTACATGTATTAAGTCCTAAAAGTAAAAGCTGAAGGGAGTCAGATGTAGGCAAAGAACGCTTTCTGTTTCAGTGCGGAAACATTGCTAGGGGGCAATAGACCATATTTTGTTGCCTTCTTAATAATCATTACCTGTTGGCGACAATTTGTCTTTTGTTGAACAGAGATTGAAGTGTTCACTTCTTGTTTTCATTGTTAAAAAAACTGTTTAATTTTCATATTGAAGATTACAACAAAGTTTTGGTATGTTTTGGTAAGTGTTTTACGGTGCTCGTAACTGCATAAGGTCATATGAGCGCGCGGGACACATTTAACTTTTTCAGTTGGTAGGAAATTTTGAATTTTGCCCGGGTGGCGGCCGAAGTCTACTCTTATCGATTTTAAACCAGAAAGGGATCTTTGACATGCGCAACTTGCATACAGGCCCTCCGAGATTTTTCGCCCTTGTCCGAGAAAGCTAGGTGTACATCTTTCCTGCCAGAAGATCGGGGGTGTGGCTGAAAGACAGCAGTAAGAAGGAGCTAGGGAGTAGCAGTAGAAAGGCTGCCGAAAGAGTCATGAGCCCAGAGAAGGGAGCAAAGGAGATGAGGTGTT